TTATTCTTGGTTTTGGGAATCAAACTCAGACCCTTGTGCATGCTAAGCATGTGCTCTGTCGCTGAGCTGTACCCCATCACCTATTTTACATTTTTAAATGATTGAAAAATAATAAAAGAATAATACTTGGTGATACGTGACAATTACAGGAGGCTCAAATTGAGAGAGCCATAGTTTCTTGCACAGCTGCACTGGGACTCCCATCCTGTAGCAGTTACGACGGCGGTTGCTGGGCCCGTGGTGGCCCTTGCAGAATGAGTTTACCTGTGCCTGGCCCCTCTCACCCAGATGAAAGGACGCTGCTGCCAGTGGCCACTAGGTGTCAGCCTTTCCCCACGGTACTTCCGGCCTCGTGGCTGCCTCTAAGAAGCTTCAGCCGTGGGTTCTTTTCAGGGACCCTGCTGCTTGCTTGTGGACAGGTAGACAGTCACTAGCCCGAGGCCAAAAAAAAAAAAAAAAAAAAAAAAAAAAAAAGCCCAGGAGGGTTTGGAGTCTTAAACGAGGGCTGCAGCTCTCGATTTGAAAGCCTAGTGTCTAGGTGAGGGGTTGGTACACTTCTCTGGAAATGCTGTTGCTTTACCCTTACATGTTTTGGGGCACTGGATATTGAACTCAGGGCCTGGTATATGGTAGGCAAGGCTCTAGCCCTGAGCCCTGGTTTAGACTTTTTTAAAAATTCAAGTTCTAGAGCAAATTGGCCAAGCAATGGCCGTGACTCATCCACATGGCTGACACTCACAAAGGTTCTACAATCTGAGGTACAGGGTCTCGGGATAAATCCTGAGGGGATTTGACTGACCTTATCAGATCCAAAAGCTACAACTCTTGTTGCATAGGTCTTGCTTTACCTTGGTCTCAACCATCCAGCAGAAAAGTATAAAAACGAAGTATAAGAAGTAAAACCATATTGTTATGTTGAGCTGTAGGAGACTCAGGTCAACAATTTCTGACTCTGCCAGTCAAGCGGAAGACCCAATACTATTATGGACTACTGGACTCTTTTGGAATATTTTGCTGAGTTCACACACGTATGATATTTAAATGATAGAACTAAACAAAAAAGGGGATACAGATGAGTGACCATTTTGTATCTGTGTATTCAAAATGGTTAGGATAGATATATAGCTACATTCTCTTAATGAATAGAGGGATTTGTTCTAATAGTGTTCGTAAATAGGATATCAAGTCCGCATCTTGTACAGCAATTAACCACTAGGAAGAATGTATGCAATGTGTTAATTATTGAAACTGTCCTACCAATTTGATTTGAAACTGTCTCATTGCTATTTGTTGCTCAATAAAATTATAAAAAAGAAAAGAATATGACAGAGTAGAAAGAGCGAATTTGGAATTAAATAGCTTTGATCTAAAAAAATAAAATAAATAAAAAATTAAAAAATAAAAATTCAAGTTCTATTCACAGGATTCTTCAAACAAACTGAAGTTATGTGTTTCTCCCAAAACTATTGGTTTTCTCCACCTTTCTCTTAAAACCTGGGCATTGAAACTTTCTCCAAGTGAGCAGCGATTAGCCTGGGTGCCTGCCAGCTATTCACAAGAGTGACAATTACTCAGGAAAGAGCAAGGGAGAGAATCCAGGGAGAACGTCCCAAGAACCCACTCTAACACAGCTCCAGAGTCTCCAAACATGCTCCTCCTTCCTGTGCGTCAGGCCCTGCACTGGGCACTTATGTGATTATTCCCCCAGCCTCAGGTGAGGAGTCTGAGAGCCTTCCTTTCTGATACAACAGTAGGTCAAGCTGGGCCAAATGAAGTCGCTTGGTGGGTCATTCAGGGTTCAGTGCCAGTGTCTACAGCCCCACCCCCTACCCCCTGCCATACATGTCCATCTGAAACCTGTTCTTTCTCCATCATGTGTCCTGCTAAGGTCACGGTAAGTGGCATGCAGCCACACCACCTTAAAGCCAGAGCCTTCCGCACTCACCATGTCCACCAAGCTGAACAAATGAATGCAGTTCCAGCCCTGCCCTGAACTGCCTCTCCCTGTCCAGTCCCCTAAACTCCAAGACATTTCAGGAAGAGACTCGAGCCAGGGAGCCACAGCTGCCAGCAGGAAATGAGAATCACAGGCGCCCTGGTTGGCACACAGTGGCTCTTTCCCCTTGGGCTGTGGGCACTGTGGGCTGCAGGCTCACTGCCTGTTCTCGCCTTTGGCTCTTCTCCTCCTCCTCCAGGCTCCCACGTACTTGCTGGCTTCTGTGGCGGGTCCTAGCTGGCCTCCTTCTATGACGTGGACATCTGTTCTTGAAATTGCTTTTTAGTGGTTGCAGACACTGCCCTAACTTCTAGCCATTTTCCTATGTGAGCACTTGTTTCCAGGTGGCTCCCTGGGAGAAGTCACAGGACACATGAGTGAAAATGAGCTAGGATGTTTGCTGGGTTAACTAGCTTTTCAGTCTTTTCTGTACTTTCAGTGTGGTGCCTTTGGACGAATTTCCTCACCTCAAGGCCCCTTTCCTCCTCCTGTTTCCTCCTCCTACTCCTGGAGCCTTTTCTTTTGAAGGGATGCGTGGGAAAAGGGCACACAGCAGCCTGGAGGACACGTTCCACCAGGCGGGAGGCCCCAGAAGATGAAGGCTGTCCATTTAGGACGCATTAAAAAAACAGAAGCCACCCCAGAGGACAGGATTAGCTCAGAAGGGACTTTTGATAAGCCTAGTCGTTAAGACATGAAATAGCAGACAACAGGATCCCGTTTGACTTCCATGTAAGTCTTAGAAGTTAGGAACAAAGCTGAAAGAATCATGAGCAATTCTGGACCCTGACACAGCCCCAGTTGATTAGCCTCCTTTATTCTCTGACCCAAGTGGCTGTCAATTCTTCCTTCATTTAACAAACAGGTATTAAGCAAGTACTGAGGCTGCAACAATGAGCCAGACAGATAAGGTCCCTGTGCTCAAAGAGCTTGGTCTCAGGGCTCCTGGGCCAAAGGAAAAATGGGTAACCTGTCACTCCAGGCTGCAGCTCTTGGGGTCCGCAAGCAGGGCCTTCATTGTTCTGTAGTGAGAGAGTAGAATGGGGAAGGTGAAAAGTTCAGGCCCAACTCTGCAAGACCTTTGGACTGGTCTTGAGATTTCTGAGCCTAAGAACATTCTCATGTCTGTACCTGTCCTCTGTACCTGTCCCCACCTGCCTTTTTTTCAGACTCAAGCTGGGAGAGGGGCTGTCCTGCAGCAGATCACCCGCTCCCGGAATGGAAAAAGGGATGATCAGTGACAGTGCTGGATCCTTCGGATGGGAGGTCATGTATGCGGCCCATGACCAGCTCATAGATGGACTCCATGACCCAGGCACATGGCAGCGCTAATTATCTGCTGAGGGGACTTGCTTGATGTTTACTCACAATGTCATAATGACAGCCAGGTGGCAAGTCCCACCAGCCTGACTGGAGTTTAGAGGTGTCCTGCTGTCAGCTCCAGCTGCTTTGGGAGGGGGCTGCCGTCAGGCACACACAGGCTCATCCCATGCTGTGTGGGAGGCAGCTGAAACTGAAGGAAGGAGAACAGATTGGGAGAAAACCTGACAGGGAGCCGAGTGGAATCGGGCAGATGTGTGCACACAAACACACCTGTTCTGGGGGGAACAGGCAGCGAAGAGCTAAGCAAGGTAACTAGGACAAAGGTGGAAGATACCATTATTCACCACCGTCCTGGAAACCAAAAACCTTAGGCAAGCCAGCCAACCTCTGTGGGCCAAAGCCTCTGTTGCATGCATGGGACAGAGAGCAGGTGGGCATGCTTTTCAGAGCCACCTGTGCGGCTGCTGGTGCTATAAAGTAGAGAGCAAGGGCCCTAAGTGGAGGGTGTTTTTATGTCCAAATCTGGGGGCACATCTGATAATGCTTGGAGTTTTGATTGTCTCATCTGGAGGGACTCTACTGGCATGCAGTAGGCAGAGGCTGAGCAACACCTTACACGGAATACTGTTGCCCCTCCCCCAACAGAAGACTGAGCAGTTCTGCCCTGTTACCAGTGCTGCAAGCCTGAGCTCAGATGGGGGATACAGGGAGAGCCCCACTTGAAAAATGCAGATAACATATGTCATGTGGCCCAAACTCTCACTGGGAAACTGCTGACTTTACAGAAGGTCCTTTCCTGCAGTTTAAAAACTGCATATGAGGAAAGCATTGAGTGACTGGCCATATTGTAGGTCTTCAATAAATGAGAAAAACCCTGCACAACAGGGAGAAAATAAAGGAGCCCATTCCCTTCTCTGGCCAGCTCCCTCCACATCTCTGGGTTTCCTTTGTTGTCTGTCTATAAAGTTCTGTTGAGACGTAGGGTCCTGAGCTGGGCAGAGGCTGTCTTGGACAGAGCCAGGAGTAGGGTTGACCATAATCATTTCCTAGGGACAGACAGTTGATATGAGGCAGTTTTGCTGAACCCCAAGGAACAGCCTTCCAGCCCCAGGCAGGAGTCCCATGCTCCCTACAGGGATGGAGCAGAGGCAGGGCGACAGGAGGGTGGCCTTCCCCAGGGTTGCACAGAAGCCGGACTCAGGAGGTGGTGGAAGCACCAGGCTGGCAGTGCTGGAAGAGCTCTAGAGAGGCAGGATGAAAGGGCAGTCACGGGGCCAGCTCTGGCCCTGTCCACTGCGTGCTGCCACCACCTCCTGGCCAGCAGTCTGCCCAGCACTGAGTTGGTTCCTCTTTGTTGCTCTAGAATAACCTCATCTTGGCATATAGAGAAACTGAGGCAGAAAGGAGGGCCTTGATCGAAGGTGCAATAACTTGGAACTTCCACTGAAATCCTCTTAGATGTGGGGGGATAGGCTTGGTTGTAGGGAGAGAGGGATATATCCCGCCAGGTTCTGTCCCTGCGGAGTAGGGACAACCTCCACTCCAGGGGAAATTTCTCTCCTCCATCACAATTCAGGCACTTTGTGTTCCGTATCTTCAAGGTGTAACACCCCTCCTCCCATGTCACCCTCTTCCACCCTTTGCTTCATGAACAAGCACACACCATGCAGACAGGTCTTCGTGCATTTCCCAGAAGTGTTTAATCCTTAGGAAGGCTTGTGGAGGTGGGTCAGGGTCCCTTCCCCACATGGCTAGAAGCTGGCCTCAGGAACAAGAGAAGACCCCAGGGTCAGGCTCATTCTCCCTTTCCTTGCCCCTCCCTGTCACTGGGGAGACCAGACTACACACAGGTCCCAGGTCCTGCCCTCAATGTGTCCCTCCCTGTCATCAGCTGTCTCATCGACATTTGTGCCCTTTCCTCAGAAGGGTGTGTCCTTTTGCTTTTCATAAGAGAGACAAGAGTTTGGCTCAGAGGGCAGAGGCTGACAAAGGTGGCTATGTGGCCCTCCCCTTGGACACTACAGCCCTTTGTCCTTTTAGCACACTGCTTGTCAGGGAGCACTGGCTCAGAGCCTGCAGTTGGAGTTACTCCATTGACATTCAACTCACTCAGCCCTTACTGGGTCACCTGAGTGTGTGACAGCATGAGTGTGTGTGTGTGTGTGTGTGTGTGTGTGTGTGTGTGTGTGTGTGTGTAATCCATTCATCGCTTACCCTGGCCCAGCACCATGTTAGAGCCTGACTTTTTCCAGGAGGCTAACACTTAACTGGGGAAGTCCTGAAGGGTGAAGGGGATCAAGGACCATGTGGGGAGAAGGGGCAAATTCTCCTATCCTTAGCACCCCGTGGCTCCCTACTCCTGCCTCATCTCTCTCTTCATTAGGCTGCAATCTCAAGGCCTTACTGAGGGGATGGGCAGGCCCAGAGAAGGGTACCCTAAGAACTCCAGGCAGGCTTGCAGCAGGAACCAGCCCAGATGGCCTGCAGCAGCCAAGCAGAGCCTGCCAGGATGGTGCAAAGTGAGGGCAAGGGACTCCCAAACCGGCAATGTCAGAGCCTTCCCCCATTCTATTCAGTCTGGCATGGGAGCCTGTGGGGACTGGGCGGCAGGTCACAGCAGCCAGTACCCTGGCCATCCTGGGACATCTTGCACCTTGAATGCTGTGGCTGGAGCAAAACTGGAATTTGGGATCCCTGGTTTCAGAGTCCCAACCTCTCTCCTTCTTTCCGCCTTCTCTGGGGCATGAGAAAGCAGCAGGAAGCCCATGAAAGGGGAAGCCAGGTAGCTGGGGCTGCCCTGCAGACGTCAGCTCACTAAGGCATATGACATGGTGGCCTTGGGTCCACCTGGGGACCTGCAGCTCTGGGGTTGGCCCAGAGGGCGGGTGTTAGCATAAAGGAGTGTGGACACTAGTCAAGCTTCCACATCATGTAAACAAGACGGCAGTGACATCTGCCTGGACTTTGGCAGTCTGACAGAGGCACGTGATGGTCTTGAGATGCCCCAGAGCCTCTCATGTGGGGTTCAGGCCCCAAGGCTGGTGGTGTCCAATGTGCAAAATGTCACAGACTGAGCCCTGTGTCCTTCACAGTACAGAACAGGACCAGTGGCCATCACAGGCTTCCCGTGGCTCAGGAAATCACACAATTGCTGGACTTGCCAGGACTGGCACTTGTTTTACCTGTGGAGACAAGGAACACAGATAGGGAGGGACATTAGTGAGACAGTTGGTAGATGTGCCTCCAGTCCCTATCCTGGGTGCTGTCCACACCTCAGCTTTGGGGGTGAAGGTTACTGGTTCCCTTCCAAGCAGCTGAGCTGGAAACTACCTCGGCAGGACACCTAGAAAAGCAAAAGAAAAGATTCTTCCTGCCTTGACAGCCTCAGCAGGATTGTCATGGTTGGGACAGCAAGTGGCCTGTTGTCTCCTGACCAAAGGTCAGGAAGGAACTCCAAAGGCTTAGAAGCTGTGTCCGGACTGTTATTACCAGTATTAAGATCTTAAGCGGCTTCCAGCTCTCAGCAATCAACTCTCACTGATGGCCACACAACAAGCCAGGATCTCTTGCTTTGTTCTACAGCAGAGGCCGTGGGCCCTGATTCCAGTCTCAGCTCTCCTGATATACACAAAGCACTGGGTTGAAAGGGGAAAAGCTGCACCTTGGGTAGGGCCAGCGACACCCACTGAGGGCCAACTCTAAGCACAGGGTGGGGAGCCAACAGCGCAGGCTTGGTTTTCCACTTCCCTGGGCCTCAGCATTCATTTCCACTTCTTACATAAAGGGGGTTGGGGGGCGGGGACTGCAGTTTCTGTGGCTGATTCCTGCACTCTGACCTATGTGGGGGATGGGGTGGAAGCTGTGAGGCAGACTTGACACCTCAGGCCCTTGTGGCCTAAGGCTGTTGGAGAGAGTCTGAGTCCTCAGAGCTGGGGCCACCTCTCCAGGTGTTATTTCCTGTGGGCTCCTCCCTACACTGCAAGGGCTGTCTCCCTGGCGCTCACACCATCTTCCAATGTCACTTCAGCTGTGAATTTAATTAAGGCAGTGTCTGCCTTCTCTTCTGGGCTGTTAGCAAGAGAGACACAGAACAGAGCTGGACTCAGGCCTTGGTTCCACAGCCTTTTCCCCTCCACTCCATGCTTTCTGCAAAGCTGCTGCTCAGGCCTATAGACTGTGCTGTGCTTGCCAACGTCGTGTCCAGGCCAGACTGAACTCACTCTTTGGGACCTACTGCAAAGCCAGCTGAGCCCCTGCTTGGTGTTCCCCAGACTCAAGCAGGCTGCTGCTGAGGGAGAACAAGGAGGGGAGGTGGGGCACCTTTGGGAGCAGTGCTGAGGGCTGCGTCTGGTATGGCTCTGCTGAAGTCATTGCATTCTGCTGCCCCGGAGCCCCTCGCTGCTGCAATGGATGCATTGTCCTACCTGGCACTCCTCAGTGGCCTGTTCCACTTGCTTGGCCTACTGAGCAAACGCTGAGTTCCTCCCTAGAGGCAGCAGCGTTTTGGAGGCAGGTAAGCAAAATCAATCTCTAGCTCCAGAAGCATGGGCAGGGGCACAGCTCTGTGGGCCAGGGAACAAGGATGCTGGGTTTTAGTCCCAGCCTGGTACACCCCGCTCCTTCCTGGAGACCGCTGCCTTCAGCAGGACCTGCCTCCTCGATTCATCCAGCTGGGCACAAGCCTGGAAAGATCCCTTATCCTCAGAATTCATTTCTATGCCTCTGAAGGAGAAAACCAGTTTTTTTTTGGGGGGGGGGGTGGATTCTTTATGTTCCATTGTTCCATCAAACGTCATTTACTGGGAGCCTGCCATTGGCAGGCATATCAGACCAGTTCAGATTAGAGGGCAAGAATTATATAACAACACCCCCTTCCTTAAATTTTTTTTTATATTTTACAAATTACATGTGGCAAGGGAGAGGGTGGCCAAAGAAGGCTTATGAGGCAGTGTCACACTCAGAGGGGAGGTGACACTGAAATGAGACAGCACAGATGGTTGCAGAGTGGGAAGACAGGGCCACTAAATGCAGAGAAGGGCTGGGGTGTGACAGTCTAGGGCATTTGTAACTAGAGCTCGGAAGCAAGGTCATATGGGAGACAGAAAGGAAAGGAACATCAAAGCGGGTGCTTATGGCAAGGACAACAGGGTCTTCTCTTCTTTTAGCTCTTGGGACTTCCTATTCCCTCTGTTGGAAAGATCCTGTCCCCGCTATTCAGGCAGCTCTGACCCTCCAGCAGTCTCTGTTGCATTGCTGCTTGGTCAGAGAGGCTTTCCCTGTCCACTGTTCATAGAAGGGCCCCTCCTCTCCTGTGCCCCCAGCTCTCCCCAGCATAACATGCTCCAGAAGAGAGGGACTTTATTCATTCTACTTTCCGCTGCACAGTGCCTGGCATGGAGCATATGTTTCATGGACATAAGCTTATTGGGGAAATGGAATGATTAGGTAGCAGCACACCACTTGTGGTTTACACCAATACTAACAGCAGCAGGAACAACAGCAGCAGGTATGAGCTGTGCATCTCCACTCAACTGGCCAGGCGATGTAAACCCTGGCCAGATCCAGCGAAACTGGAGAGACCGAAGGAGTGCAACATCAGCCAGCAGAATACGCAGCCCTGCCTCTTCTCTAGAGCGGGGCAGGATCGGTCACCTGGAGGACGCTGTACCATCGGAACCCCCACTGGTAACAGGTTTCAGAATCACCAGCTCAGACCAAAGCTTCTACACACAGCTGGGGCCAGATCCAGCTGCTTAGGGGCAACACTGAAACTCTGCCTTGACAAGTGACACTTGAGAAGATGTGCCCTGGAATGGGGGTGTACCGGGTCCATACAGAGCCCTGAGTCCAGCAAGCACTCCTCTAGCAAACTTACAGTCCATCTCTGACAGGAGCCAGATTTCCAGGAAAGACATCTGAGACCTTCAGTACCCTCCACTCCCAGGATGACATAGGAGAGTGTGAAGTCCCTAAGTCTGGCAGCCAGAAGTCATAGCTCTATGAAGCCCGAACCCACTGCCAGTGGAATGAGCCATGCACAACACAGGGAGACCCAGTAGGCTCTGGGAAAGGCATGGCCAATGCAGGTTACCTTGGAGACCACTTGGGAGACAAGGCCCCACCCTTGCCTCCCTCTCAGCTGGCAGATTACCAGCAGGAAGGGTCCAGCCAAAATTTGAGGCACTTGCCTTTCTGGTCTTTAAAAGATATAGGACAACAGTGCCACCCTTTGCCTTGGGAAAAGCCACCATTTTTTTTTGGCAGGCCCTGGACATAGGTTCCCCTCTTTGAAGTGGGGAGGGGGGTCAGGCAGGATACACTTTCAGACCAAAACATTTCACACTGCAGCTCTCTTAACTTTCATAAAAATGTTGCCATTTCCCAGAGACCCCGCACCCCTGGGATGTGGCCAGGTTTCAGGCAGAGCACCTAGAACCTTGTCCCCTAGCCTGGTGGCTTCCTGAGGGTAGAGGCTTGCCTGAGTCTCCTCTGCGTGCAGGACTGTCTGTTGATCTGCGGACACTCTATATTGCAGAACTGCATGGGGCAATCTTGTCAGTCTTCAGCCTAGTCCGAGTCATACTGACTCTTTTTGTGGTGCTGGGGATCAAACTCTATCCCTGATCTTCAGCCATACTCCTTAATATTTTTGAGATAGTTGCCCAGGTGGGACCTCAAACTTGAGATCCTCCTGCCTCAGCCTCCCTCAGTGCTGGAATTCCAGACATGTCTGGCCTACTTGTATTTTTATAACAAGGCCATCCTCTGACTGGTCCTCCCTGAGGTTGGGATCTCTCTCTCAGGAAACCTGTCTTAAGCTCCCCCGTGGGAGCAGGTGGCAGGCTGGAAGGAAGGAAGCTGTAAGGTGGCCCAGCGCTGGAGCAAGGTCTTGGCAGAGTGAAAAGGCAGAAGTGAAAAGATACTCAGCTTCTACCACTAGAGGGGGCTTCGAGCCTTCAAACCACCAGGCTGCTCCCCCTCCCACCTTCCCAGACCCAAAGGCAGCAGTTTCTGGGAGGTTCTCCCCAGGGCCACACCTGGGTTTGCAAAAATTTGCATACTGTATGACAACTATATACTTCTTATCAAGCAATTTTTCAGGCTGTCAGCTCTCAGCTTTTTCTCTTTCTCTCTTTTACCAACCCTGTCATCAGCCCACATCCTCGCTTGATGAAAGCGTGCAGAGATAGGACAAAGTGAGAATCTACTCCTGTGGACCTTCGAAACCCTCCCTAGCTCACCCTGTCCCCTTTTAGAAGAGGAGACAGCCCCAGGGAGGGGAGGGACACTTCCAGGGCCAATGGCAGTTTGTCCTGAGCAGGGGATATGTGTGTGTGTGGGGGGGGTGTCTGTCCAAGGGTAGTCCAAACGCTTCCCAAGGGAAGGGGGGACTGTCCTGGGATGGGGTGATGGCCCCAGGGATCTAGGATTACTGCTTCCCTCCACAGGGCCTTGCTGTTGGGAGCCCACCCCTTTCACGCGGGCAATCTGGACTCCCTTGCTGCCTGTGGGGCGGCGCTGCGGCAGCCTGGCAGTGCCTAGTGTTGGACAGGCAGAGGTGAGGAACAATGAGCCCCTGCTTCTCATCCCTTCCTGTGGGGAAGAGAGACACAGAGAAGGAGTGGCCAAAGGAACCCAAATTTCAGGGCCTCTGAAACTGGAGGCTCATGCAGGTGGGCAGGGCTGTGCTGGACACACTTGCTCTCCGGGGAAACGGCCCGCCCCACACCTGGCTCTGCCCAGGTGCAGGTGCTCTGACGGGGGCTCCCGAGGGCATTGTCCACGCTGCTCAGCTGGCTCCAGGGCACCATGTGCAAGCGGTGAAAGATGAACCAGAGTGGACGCATCTGCCGAACTCATCCAAGTAGGGGAACCTGGGGCTGCGCAATGCGCTAGAGGTGGCTGGAAGGGACAAGACAATGCGCCTTGTGTTTCTATGGAAACTACCTCAGGGTGAGGGGCTGAGAGAAGAGAAAGCTTCCACCTCACTTCCAGGCAGGACTTGGGAATCAGCCCCTTTGTGGCTGGGCTCATCCCCTCCCCTTTCCTGCCAGATGTTCACCATGGCAACCCTCCTTCCAACAGGAGGTGAAGAGCAGCAGTGAATGTTGGGGGAGCAGGGAGCCCGGTGGGAATAGGGACAGGGCAAGCCACCTTTCTTTGATAGGACAGGACTTGGTCCCAGGCCTGGGTTTAGATCCAGGTCTACGACCACTTCTTGTACCCTGGAATCACTTCTTCCTCCTCTGAAGATCTGAAAGGGCTGTCAGGGATGAAAGGAATGAGTATTTCCATAGGAGCTGGCCCAGAGTTGCTCAGGAAGGTGTACAAAGGGTCCAGTACTCCCACTGTGCCCATACCAGAGACTCCCAGGCCTGCTCTAGCCTGAACAGGCAAACATCTATGGGCACAGCCTGGGCACAGGAGCTGGGAATGAACACAGGGGAAGTGGCTGTGTCCCCGCTTTTCTGCCACTTAGGATCAGGTCAAATGAGGGCTGTGAAGACAGCTGAGTCCTGGAGCCCTTAGGCTGCCCAGGACCAAACCTCAGGCTCTGGCTCCCATGTACTTGGCAGCCAGGGAGTTCAGTTGCCTCTGCCACACAGCCCTGCAGGCATAGAGGGGAAAATCTCACCACTGACATCCTTTTGACTCAGGGATAGTTGGGGGAGAAAGGCAATCTCGTGGTCACCACCAGAGACTGCTCTGGAGAAAGAGATCAAGGCCAGGGCCTCGAGGGGATCCCAGAGAGATGGCCCAAAAGACAGCACCATCATTAAGTGCTTACATTGGGGTAGCTGGTTTGTCAAACAACTCTGGGAATCAAGTCAAACTTCTGGCAGCGGAAACCGGAAGCTGGGTCAGGGCCCCACAGGGACAGAGGTGTGAATGGGGTGTGTCTGACCAGGTTAGATCCTGTCCAGAGTGACACAGCAAGGAATAAGTTTGGCCAGAACGAGCCCCAGACTCAGCCATGAGGCCCTGTTTTCTTCCCTGACAAAAGAGAAATGTGCTCCACTTCCTTCATTTGCCTGAGAGGTTCTGAGGCTAATTTGGAAGCTGTCTCCAGGCAACTCTAGGCTACCACCACTCAGAGCCCTGGGCAAGGCACATGTGTCACTCCTCTCTCAGGGAACTCAGAAGCATGGTGACTTGCCCAGGGTCCCCAGAGAGACACAGGCCTGAGCTGGGGTGGGAACCGAGGACCTTCTGACCCAGGAGCTCCTGCTTGTTTGTGACACCAAGCTGCCCTGTGTGGACATGAGGCGATGCTCCTCTACAAGCACCATACAAGGGGCAGGGGTAGCACCAGGCCCCAGGGAAGTGGCCTCACCTGAGATGCTGGCAACGGAACCCTCGTTGGGCTTCTTTCCCATGAGAAAGTCCCTGTCGGTCATCGTCTCGGTGGACAGGGAGCTGGCCACGTTGTTGCTCGCTGAAGGCTTCTTGGTCCGTCGACTGAAGATCCTACTGTTGAAGCGCTTGTTGTTGGTCAGGTTGGCCTCCCCCTTGGCAGCTTCCCCTTTGCCATTTTGGGCAGATGCCTCTCGGGCCTTGGGTCTCAGGTCTATGTGCACGTGAGAGATCATCTTGCCGTCTTTCTGGTTCAGCTCTCGGGAGGGAATGGGCTCTACAGGGGGCAGCTGCTGCTCCACTGTGACCAGGTCATTCAGAAAGCTCTCCAGGCGCTGGGCCGCCTCGCCGCCTCTGCCACTCTCCTCCTGCCCCTCTGGGTTGCCACCCAGGTTCTGCTGTTGCTGGGCAGCCCAGCGCATCATCTCCCCTGGAGGTTGGCGGCTGCCTGCCACCAGGGCATACTTGGGGTTGATAAGCTTGCGGGCCACAGTGGAAGAGTAATTGGGGGCAAGTCTGCCCGCAGCTCCCCCCAGGCCCAGCTGCTCGAACAAGTTCACCTCCTCAGAGATGGCGTACAGCTCCCTGAACTCCACATCGAAGGTCTCCACGTGCTGCCCTGTCAGGAGGAGGAGAAGGTTCCTGTCCACGTAAGAGGAACTCCAGGTGAACCTGGAATGTGAGGATGAAAAAGCAGACTTGTGGCCAGCCTGCTCCAGGCCATCCCACCGTCCCCTCTGCTGAAGTCAGACAACCTGCTGATGGACAGAAAGCCCATGCCACCTAACGCCAAACTGATCACTCTCTCTCTCCCAGCCTAAGTCCTCAAATGCAGAAAATAGGCAGTGGACTCAGAAAGAAGGGCAAGAGAAGTTAGGCTGTGATTCAATCCTGGTTTCTGCCTTTGCATACCTTGCTTAAAAAACAAACGAACAAAAAAACCCCAGCAACAATAGGGCTCAGCCATGTATAGTGGTGAACACCTGTAATTCCACTATTCTGGGAGGTTGAGGCAGGAGGATTGCAAATTTGAACCAAGCCTGGGCAAGTTAGTGAGACTCTGTCTCAAAATAAAAAAATAAAAAAGGGGATCAGGGTTTAATCTCCAGTAAGGCAAAAAGAAAAAAAAAACAAGAGGGGAGCGGGCTCAAAGGACCTAGGGCTGCAAAATGTTACAGATAATTTATCTCAGACTTGTGAGTCTCAAATGAAATAACAAATAAAACATTTAGCCAAGTACCTGGTACAAACACACTGTTAATGAGCAGTAACTGGATTGCTGCTACTGTCAATATTGTCCCATTCTTTTTTAGTTCTTTGAATTTCTAGAGCACTTAATTTCTGCAAAACAACCCATACTATAACCTTGAAAAAGGACTTATGCCATTTATTAACTGTTTCATGTTCTGAAGTCTCTTTTTTCAATTTTTTTAAAATGCATTTGGTACAGGGTCTCACTATGTAGCTCAGATGCGTAATGATTCTCCTGTTTTCAGCCTCCCCAGTGCTGGGATTACAGGCATGCGCCACCAACCTTGGACTTGGTCGCTGGCTCAGTGCGCCCTTGGGGAGGGGCTGGCATGGCATGTGGGACCAGGGTTCAATCCTGAGCTTGCCAAAGCAGGCACTTAGTCCACTGAGCTATCTCGCTGGCCCTTCTTCATCTAATTTTAATTTACCCAGAGGACAGACATTGCACATAATCTCTCATATGTCTGGCAATTCAGTTTTAGACTGAAACTCCGAGGACAGTCCTCTGTGCCATGCCCTCAAGTTTCTTTCTGGATCTGGCCCATTCTAGTTCCTGCTTGTCCCACCTAAGAAAGAACTAGCTTCAAAATGCAACTAGTTGCTGTGCACCATGAAAAATAGGCAGTGTTTGACGGATGTGGTGGTACTGTCATCTCAGCACTCAGGAGGCTGAGGCAGGAGGATCACTGTTGAGTTTGAGGCCAGCCTGGGCCACAAAAGTGAGTTCAAACCCCAGCCTACCCTATAAGCGAGACTCTGTCTCTAAAAAACAAAACAAACAAAAACAGGCAGTGTTTAAAATGCCCACAAAGCGTTGACCCTCTTTCTGGAATAATACATTAACCAGAAGAGTTGAAGAAAAGACTGGCAGGAGGCAGTCTGCCCTTGGGACAGCCAATAAGTCATGACTGAAACAGAAATCAACAACTACATCAATAAAATAACCTCAGGGCGGTGGAGGCGCTAGTGAACAATTACCGAGAAGTTACCTCCTCTGACCTGGCCCAATTCACCTGTAGGATCCGGTGGCCACTTTGTCACCATCCACCATCAGAAACCTTGATGACAGGGTCCCCTTGATCTTCCCCATGGGCATATAGAAGCCGACACCTGTCACAGAGCGCACGCGGATGTTCTGTTGAGAAGAGGATAAGCACGGTCACCCAGTGTAGCAGTCCTGCGCTCTGGCAGAGGAGGCGTCCCCTTGCATGAGGACTCTACTCGCTGACACCTGTCTGGATTCTGTGTTTCTTGGCCTTACATACAGAACTCCATATGGGAGCAGGAGGAAGTCACTGAATCTTTGGGCATGGGCAAGGCCAGAGGGTTTCCTGTCTCTAACCAAAGTTCCTTGGGTAAGAATCACAGCCCCAAATTTGAACTTGACAATAAACTCAGCAATTCTGCAGGCTGAGCACCCCATGAATGGGCCAGAGCTGCTGCAGCCTCTGCAGCCTCAGGACAAAAATGAAGCTGGGTGTGTGATTTAGCAGTTACCAGTTCCTGAGACATGGCTGAGGTGTGGCAGATGGAAGGGGTTGAGATCTTGAACCTGTTTTCCCCTGAGCCCCTGAATGACTGGGGTGGAGACAAATGGAGAAGAAGGGGCAGAAGGAAACCAAGAAGGAGGAGGAGGAGGAGCAGAAGGAGAAAGTGGAGGAGGAGGAGGAGGAGGATACAGAGAAAGAAGGGGAAGAGAAGGAAGTCTCCATCGCCTCTGTTCACCCCTTACCTCAGTGGAGCAACAACTTACCCGAATCCGGAAGTCAGAGAGCTCTAGGCCCTGACACATCTCCAGGAAATACTTCACTCCTGTCTCGTCCAGGATGATGTACACTGGGACCCAGCGCTTAGAGGCAGCATCCACAATGTCTTGGAAAATATCACCATCAGTGAAGAGGTCCATGACCACAGCAATGACCTGGACAGGGAAGGGTGCTAGTGAGGGATGGGTGCTGTGACTACATACATCTTTGGAGAGACACCTCATCCTGGATTGCCCCTATATCCCCCCCCCTTCCATACACACATCCCAATTATTCTTCAGAAGCCTCATCAGAGGAGAAGTAGGAGGCCAAACAAGCTGCTCCTGCTGCCCCAGGGAAACCAGCAGGCGATGCCAAGGTGCAAAGGATGGGCTCGCTTCCATCAGCTACAGATCTGCTTGAACATCTCTTTCCCAGCAGGCCTGAGCGCTCTGATCTCCCTGCAGCTGTGCAGAGCCCTGCGCTTCCCCAAGCTCAGATCTGGGCAGAGCTCCAGTTGGCCCGAACGCCCGTGGCCTCTGGTGTCCAGCCTTCCCCACCCGTCCTCAGATCGAGGTCACTTCCCAGGACCCTTCACTCGCACAAGTCAGCCCTGATTCTGCATCCTGGAAGGCGAAGCCTTTTACAGCCTGAAGCAGATCTGTTTTGCTGCACAAACCACCCTCGGCTCCAGCCTCCTCCTCTCCCCGAACACTGCGCTCCAATGCAGGGGAAAGGGTCAGGCCTCAGGGTGAGAGAAGTCTGGTTTTAATTTCAGACCTACCACTTTCCATGTATGGAAACAACACCCTTGCCTTCAGCGAGCCTGCTCCCTTAAAGTGGGGACAGCCTGCTTGTTACATATTTGCCATGAGGGTTAGAGAGAATACCTATAAAGCATCAAACACAAGGCCTGGTTTGCAGCAATCTCTAATAAGTAGCTGAGGGGACCCATTTGCCATCACAAGGGAGTGTGGGCTCCACAGCTGGACAAATAAGCCTGGGATGCCCACTCCATGCCTGGCTCCCTGGCATGCCAGCCTCCTCCTTGGCCGGGAAATGGAAGTGACAATAGCATCCATCCCAAAGGTTTGTCTGGGGATCTAGTAGGGTAACCCTAGGAAAGTACTTAGTGCTAGAAAATACTACTGTATGGCCCATGGTAAACTCTCCCTCTTTTTGGAGATAAGGTTCTCTTACACTGCCCAGGCTAAGTGCATGACCTTCTTGCCTCAGCCTCCTGACTGGGATTATAGGTATATGCCACCAAGGATCAATTTGGTAAGGCTCATCCCCAACACATTTTATCATCACTATCAACACCTTCACAAGCACACCTTACAATACCCGGGCCCCTAAAGTCTCCTCACCCACACCTTCATGCAGTGTCACTTAAGCTCTCCGCAGGCTTACATTTGCCAGCCCATCATCAATGCAGGTGTGAATGATTACTGAGCCCCGCGAGCGAGCGCAGTGAGGATCTAAAGACAGATAAGCTGCAATCACTAACTTCAAGGGGTTAATCCAGGTGGATGAAGAGACAGCTGCGAGTAATAAACAAGGTGTTAAGTAAATGAGATAAATGCCTTCAGGGCTGCACAAGTGACATGTGATGAAGGGGGAGATAGGCAGCTATTAGTTCTAGCCAGGGGAGAGCAAGGAAGGCTTCATTCGCAGGAAGCCTTTGGTTGCCATGAGGAAAGAGGAGGAAAACCCAACAGAGAAGCTGTCTGGGTGGCCGTGCATGAGGACAGCCTATGCAGGGGCGTAGGGGCGCTGGGCTGAGGTGGGGACAGGGACTGTGCCCTGCCTGAGGAAGTGACACCATTTCCAAGGTGCCTAAGCACAGGTGCCACGTGGCCTAGCAGAGGCCTAAGAGGTGCATAGTGCAGGCATGGAGTGTGGCAGCCACCGAGGCAGTGGGACGCTTAATTTTAGGTGTTATCTTGGCATGCAGCGGACTAATCAGATGTTATTCTGGATGCTTGGACAATGTTAAAACAGTAAGCTTCAAGCAAAGCAGATTTCCCCCTCCCCCTCCCCTTCTCCCTCCCCTGAACCCCCCCCCTTCTCCCCCCCCTCCCCCTCCCTCTCCCTCTCCCCTTCTCCTTCTCCCTCCCCCTCCCCTTCTTCCTCTCCCTCTCCTTCTTCCTCTCTCCTTCCCTCTCCTCCTCTCCCTCCTGCACACCCTGTTGGTTCTGTTCCCTTTGAGAAGCCTGATTATCTCAGGCACCAAGGATAGGAATTCATATGTTACTAAATACTTTCAAGGCACCTTATGCTAAAGTACTCATGAGTGTCTTAAGTACTCATGCACTAATGTGAATTTTCTAATCTGACTCTCACAACTATTCTACGAGGATTTCACAACTGAGGAAGTAAACAGAGAGGGGCAAAGTAACCCACCTGAGGTCATCAGGCTAGTGTGTGGCAGAGCAAGAAAAGCAGGTACACCTGACTCCAGAGACTCATTTTACTGCTTCCCAGGAAGGCTGCTTCAAGGCATTTCAGAAACATCAAATCAACAATGCTTTTCCAGAAAAGACTAAACAAGATAGATAAACCTCTAACAAGATTGACAAAAATGAGAGGAGTTGCAAAAAAGATACTGAATGAAAAAGGACAAATACAAAGGACATTACAGATTTCAGAAATCATAAAAATGGTAAAAAAAAAAAAATTAAGGTCAATTCTACATTAATGAATCTGAACATCTGAATAACATGGATGATGTACTACAAAAGAATTAAACACAACCTAGGCATCGTGGTACATGCGTGGAATCCCAGCACTCAGAAGGCTGAGGCAGGAGGATCACCACGAGTTTGAGGCCACCCTGGGCTACAGCCTGAAGTGAGTTCAAGGCCAGCCTGAACTGGCCTCGCTATATAGCAAGACCGTGTCTAAAACCAATAAAAACAACAAGCAAATAAAACTCCTACATATATCATAATCAAGTAAGGTTTATCAAAAGACTATAAGTATGATTCAACAAGAGACTATATCATTTAAATTTATAACATGGAATCAAGAGGAGAAAATCATATATTTTCTTAATTAAAAAAAATGTCAGAAAACAAGATCTCTAGTTATGATTAAAATTCTCAGACAGCCAGGCCTAGAAGGGCCCTTCCTTAACCTGGTGAAGTCTGTTTACCAAAAACTCACATGCAGCTTACTTAATAGAGAAAGCTAAGACAGATTTCCTTTCAAGTATCAACACAAGTTCAAGATACTCTTTATCACACTACTGAAGAGATCCTAATCAATGTGATAAAATAAGAAAAAGAAATGAGATAAAAGGTTTAAGGGAGACAAAGCTATACATTAGTCATTTTCATAGAAAACCCAAAGAGGGAAAAAAGAAAGAAAAAGGAAAAGAAAAACCATGGGCTTGGGAGACAGTTCAGTGGTCTAAACTCCTGCCTGGCAAGTGCAAGGATCTGGGTTTGATCCCTGAAACCACATTCGGTGTGGGCCATCAAAACTGGGTGTGGTGGTGCATACCTGTAATCCTAATGCTGGGGAGGCTGAGCTAGGAGGATCACTAAGAATTTGAGCTGTGTAGCAAGGCCCTCTACCAAATAAATAAATAAATATTTTTTAAAAGAAAGAAAGAAAGAAAAAGAAAAACCAGTAAAATCAAAATAAAAGCTATTAGAATTAGTAAGAGAATCCAGTAAGAAATGCTCTTAAAAATAAATAGCTTTCATCCACTCTACACTTCATTTTAGCCAAAAGCCTAGAAGTGATTGCTTTCACTCACTCCAACAAAAATGAACTAAAATAAAATAAAATCCATTCACTATTGCAACTTAAGCATATGGTGCCTTGGAATTATTATCTTTAGGGAAAAATTTTGCAAACCCTACTAAAAGACACTTAAAATATATGAGTAAACAAAGAGATTAATATGAAGAGATAATATAAATTAAAATTTAAATTTAAAGGGCTGGGGAGATAGTTCAGCAACATAGGCACCTGCCTGGTAAGTGCAAGGTCCTGAGTTCAATCCCCAGTACCAAAAATAAACAAACATAATTAATTCTCTCTATAGTAATGAAATTCAATGCAATTCAAATAAAAGTTCAGTACATATTTTTGAGGAATTCAAATATTCCTAAGAAAGGAAGAATAAAGATCCACAAGTAGTTATCTCAATTTTGAAAAAGAAAAGCTACTGTCCTATCAGACAGTAAGAAATTGTACAGCTATAGTAATAAGAATTACATGGGGCCAGTGAGATAGCTCAGCAGTCTAAAGCACCTGCTTAGGCAAGCTTAAGCAATCATGGTTCAATCCCCGGTACCACATGTGACAGCAGCCCAGCCCCTAGGGCAGGCTGAGTCAGTCACCAAAAAAAGAGAGAGAGAGAGAAAGAGAGAGAGAGAGAGAGAGAGAGAGAGAGAGAGAGAGAGAGAGAGAATTACAGTGCCAAGCTTAGAAGGAACTTCCAAATAAACCAAAGAACAAAATGATGAGACCAGAAGCATCCACATACACACACAGATGCATACACAGATATGCACCTACAGACATACATACAATTTTACATATGATGGGAATAGAATCACAAATCAGTGGAGAAAAGGCTGATGTTTAATAGATCCTATTGGGGAAATTGGCTTATCATACAGAAAAAAAATATGGATTTGTACCTCACACCATATATAAAGGTAATTTCATGTAGGCTAAATACCTAAGTGTGAGAGAGAGAAAACTTGTAAGAGAATTGATGAAATGTGCAAAATACCTTCATGACACAGTCAGGATTGCTTACGATTCCCAAAACACAAACAATAAGGGAAAAGAGATAAAATTAAACAGATGTATTTGAGGCCCAGGGCAATAGCTCAGTAGAATAATACCTGACAAATGCAAGGTCCTGAGTTTAATCCCCGGTACTGCAAAAAATAGATAGATAGATAGATAGATAGATAGATAGATAGATAGATAGATGAATTTGAAAAATTAAGTGTTTCCATTTAAATAGAGAGGCCACAGACAAAGGTAACTGATAGAAGCAAAATAAATAAAATACAAGGAATCTCCCACAAGTGAGCAAGAAAAAGAGAGCAAACTAATTTAAAAATTAGGTGATGCGGGGCCGGGGAGATGGCTCAGTAGAATAAGCACTTCCCTGGCAAGTGCAAGGGCCTGAGTTCAATCCCCAGTT